AACACTGAATTAGGACAGACTTTTGATTTTTATAATGTGGGATTATGCATCTTCTTCGTTTTGACGATATTTTGTCATAATATTGTCTTTTTTATAGAAAAAACACAATTTTTCACTCATCACGACAAGTTGGCTCGTGAGTTCTTAGTGAGCTCGCCATTTTCATTCCTAATACAAAGTATATTTGACATCTTAAACTAGAAACGCTAATGATTTTTTATGTACAATATTTAACTAATCGATTTTACTTTATTATTTGAGCACTATTTCGTGACTATATTTGAAATATAATATTATAATTCACTTTTAGGAGATGATTTTGCTATATGTATACTGGAGTGTCAAACCCGATGTACACCCTCTCACAAAAATAAATCTAAGTGTCAACATTGATTGACAACAATGTGTGGTCAAAATCCTAGTATATGATGTAGAAAACAATTTTTTTTTAAAAAATGAATGAATATGATGATGTTAAATAAGATGTTGTCAACTAAAGTTGTCAACCAATGTTGTACATGTAGCATGATTCCTCTCATAATGGCAGGTCCACAAATTTTTTATTGGATGTGAGTCCCCTCCTTTGTGAGGGGGTGTATACGAATAGCGAAACCCTTTTAGGGAATTCGATTTCTACAAGTAATACTAACTTAATCTATTTTCTTGTTACTTTTAGCACAAATCACCTTATGTGATAATTAATTTAATTATATTTTACTTAAATAAATTATATATCTATATGGCCATCATTATGCTAATATCGGAATCATAATGTTGGCTTTAAACCAAAACGTTAGAATATTCTATAGTGCCTTCTTTTGTGCCATCTATTAAACAAGGATGGTGCTAGATGTACACTAAATCCATTACTTAATGGATTATACCTCCCTCACATGGAAGGGGGCCCACAAATATTTTATTGTGTGTGGGCCCCTTTCATGTGAGGGAATGTAATTCATTATGTAATGGATTGTGTACATTTAGATTAATCCATTAAACAAAAGGGAAAGTTATGCAAATACCAGTAAAATTACGAGAGCAACGTGAGGCCCAAATAGGCCCCAATAAGAGAGCTTCAGCATATCCACGTCTTAAACGGCCCCACAAGTTCATAGCAGCTGTGATCCTGGCTAAATAATGGCCCACTTAGCAGAAACGCATAGTTCAGCAACTGGGTATGACAAAACTTCCCCTAGCTCATGTTTGTCCCCCTTTAAAACAACTCTTTTAATTACACACTCATTTTCAACCACATATTTATATAATAAAATATTTTGTACGTAAATTCAAAATTTTTTCCTAATTTTTAACTACGCATTCTCTAAAAAATCACTATTCAAAACTTAACCTTTTCAAAATAATGACCATCAAACAGGGCCTTAAGTAAACAAGCTACTAAATGAATGTTATAATCCAGGTCCCACCTCAAGAAAATCTCTTGACAGTGAATAGCCGCTCCAACGCTACATCGTTCCATTTCTATCCTTAAAGACAACTGGAAAATAACAGTGCAACCACCAAACTCCACGAACAATCACCAACAAGTAACAACAACCATGTACGTGGCGACACAACCAACCAATAGCCAACTCCCACCAAACCAGTCAAGGAAAGAATGGTGATGGAAAATGAAACTACAATTATAAATAATAAATTGTAAAAGAAAAGAGAAGC